CAAAAGCTCAAGGGGTGCAAAAGAGGCCACATGACTAATGTCTCAAAACAGCAGGCTCTGTGTGTGTGTGTGTGTGTGTGTGTGTGTGTGTGTGTGTGTGTGTGATTTCTGATAGACTGGGGAAACCAAGTGAAGAAGAGGACCCTTGCTTACTGGAAAATTCTGGCTCTGCTCTATCGTATCCCAAATGGGTGTCATTTTCCACCTGAGCGTGATCCTCAGGTCTTCCTCAAACTTGGACTCGTCTCTACATTTCAGTCTTTCCATAAGATAGGTGTATCAACATATTGGGACACTGGTGGTTTAGTGGGCTTTGCACGGATCTGCTGATCACAAGGTGACTGATTGGAACTCACCAGCTGCTCTGTGGGAGAAAGAGGAAGCTGATACCAGGGGCAAGTAGAAAGCAAATGTTTTGAGAATGATGATGGCAACAAATGTACGAATGCGCTTGACCCAATGGATGGATGGACGGAGTGTGATAAGAGCTGTACGAGCCCCCAATAAAATGATGGGGGGAAAAAAGGTTTAAAGTCTCAGAAACCCCAAAGGCAGTTCTACGCTTTCCTATAGGTCACTACGAGTCAGATTGGATTTGATGGCAATGAGGTTCTTGTGTTTGTTTGGATATGTTGCATGGTGGCCTCATATCAGAGCCACTTTTAGAGCTTAAAAATAAAGGTGTTCTTAATGCAGCACAGAGGAGGAGTCAATCCATCTACATGGGGGGCGGGCAGAGAATGCATTTTAACCGCCCACATACTCTAGGTTGTGTCCACCTTCCATAGTCCTTTACCAGTTACACTGTTGTCCCCAGATAAGGCATATAGTGCCTCAGACTGGCCGGACAAAGAGCTTGAGAACTGCTGGTCCAGAAAGAGCCACTGAACATCTACGACAGGAGATTGAAGTCGCTTTTAATGAAACACTGAGGGGCATCTCATCGTCATAACCTCAATCAGGTTTATTGTCAGCAAACCCTGTATTCACTCATGGGTGAATTCATGGAGCCATAGTGTTTACAAGGAGAAGGATCCAGTCCTACTCACCCCCGAGCTTTTAGAAGCACATGGGGAATGCATTTCTTTTCAAGCTACAGAAGTGAACTATACCTGGGGGTAATCAACCACTTGACGTCAGGAGGGGTGTGTCTACCCAAAGAAGACGCTCAAAAGGAAAGAAGAACGGATGGAGATGGAAACCACACGGAGATGTGGGATAAGTGATGTGACAGTGTGGGGGCTGCAATCAATGGGGCAAAACAAAACATGTATGAATTATGAATGAAAAGCCGATCTGCTCTATGAACCTTCACCTAATTCGCAAATTAAAAGATAAAAAAAATGTATCTTAATGAGAAGATAAGATCAACAGGATGGAAACCTTGAAACTAATGGATAGCAGATGAAAAGTTTGGGGAATTTAGACTAAAGAGGAGAATTAGCATGTGAAAAGTGACGGTATGGCACAGAAAGGCAGTATGTGAGGGACTGGGCATGTCCCATAGGATATTTATGCTTGTGTCAACCTGGCTGGGCCAGGCTTCTGAGTGGTTTGGCAGTTGAGGTGCACTAATCTCCCATGATGCACTCTACCAGAATGCATCCACTTCTCTGATCAGCAGCCAAGCAGCAGTGGGATGATTAGAGTGGGGTGCAACCCCTTTACTCAGGGCACAGCCCTGATGCAATTGAAATAACATTTCATCAGGGGTGTGCCTTGATTCCTATATAAATGGATGTTATGGGAAACTTGCTTTTTGCTGGCTTGTTAACCTCCAATTCTTTGGACTTGAGTCAGTGGCCTGCCATATTGCCTCTTGATCCCAGGAGCCATCAGTGGACGGTTTATCTGACCTTACTGATCTGATGACCTTGAATCCATTCTACTTATCTGACCTGCTGGCCTTGGAGTTCTCAGGCTAGCACTGTGGCATTCCTGCGGATGGTGGCTCATCAGCACCCAAAGCTACTCTGGTCAGAAGAAGCCTCTAGTTTACCGTCTAATCCCAGTACTGGAACAGGACTGGACTGACCTGCTTCTACAGCCGTGTGAGTCATTGTCTTGATAAAAATCTCTCTTTGGATATATGTAAATGATGAGAAACTCAGTATAAAAAGAAACTATTATACTACTAGAAATCATGAGGATTTCTAAACACAATCTTAAACTTATCCAAGGCATTACATACCAAGAAATTGTGAAAAAAAATGTCAGTTAACATAAATAAAACTGATCACACTGTGTTCATCAGTAGGGATCATGCCTCAGAGATCATCAGCTATTACCACCCTCTCCCTCAAATGCAAGATTAATGGAAATGCTATCCTTGTTCTAATACTCTCTAAGAGGGCTTGGTAGATCATTACCCCACTGCTTGGAAACCACTTTTGCTCTCTTATCTCCCTGAAATGAAGAAAGTGGCTCAGTACATTTCTAATGAAATGTTGGATCCAGATTCATCCGAGTAAGCATAGGGTCAGAGTAACTGTAGGGTCAGAATGCTAGCTGAACCCCCAAACAAAGGTCCATTCAGGAGCCCACCCTGTGGTCAATCTGGTTGTCTAGATCTGGAAATCAGGGATAGGACAGGAGCAGAAACTTCCTAAGAATAAAAGAATATCATAAATAGCTCAGTTTATTAGCCTTCTAATATCTCAGGGTCAAAAGGCATCTCCAAAGTTATTTCATGCAGTCACCCTCATTTAGTTCTCGAATCTTCCTTTGTCATATCAACTTACACTGAAACCACTACATTGACTCAATATGGAAATAGCCCATTCCATAAAAGATCTTCACATGGTGGCTCAAAGTTTGTTTCTCCCGTATCAGTCGCTTGTAGACATATGGAGTATCAGCAGAGTTCTCTGGAGTGGCACAACCAGTTGAAATATATATATATATATCCACCAGGGCTCCTAACTATATATCATATATACCTGGTGGAGTCGTGGTTACACACTGGGCTGCTAACCACAGGTCAACAGTTCAAAACCACTAGCTGCTCCATGGGAGATAGATGGGCTTTCTACTCCAGTAAATGGTTACAGTCTCTGAAACTCACAGGAGGAGTTCGACCCTGTCCTACAGGGTCACTATGAGTCAGTATCAACTCAATGGCAGTGAGTGAGTGAGTGAGTGAGTGAGTGAGTGAGTGAGTGATGATCCCTTTGGGCATGAGATTAAGACGGATGAGTCCTAAGAAAGGGATATCATATTTGGTAAAAGAGAAGGTCAGAGAAAAAGAAGACAACTCTTGATGAGATGGGCACAGTGACTACAACCGTGGAGTCTCGCATAGAAACAATTCTATGGCCAAGAACTAGACAGTGTTCCATCCTGTTACGCAAAAGGTGGCTATGAATGAGACCAACACCTAGAAGCCTCAATAGGAATGAGGGGTGAGAACAGGTACCCTAAAGGGAACTTTATGGAATGGAAGTTATTATCTTGATTATGACTGTGGCTGCATAAATCTATACACACTTACATAGAACTACTAACACACACACACACACACACACACAAATGAGTGCATGCAGAACTGGTGCAAGCTGCCTGAGCTCTGTGGTTTGTAACAGTGTTGATCCCAGGGTTGTGATAGGGCTAAGGTTAAGCACTAAGCCTCAGACCCAGAGGTTGATGGTTTGAGCCCACTGGTTGTTCTGGTGGGAGAAAGATGGGGGCATCTGCTTTCATAAAGATCACAGCCTTGGAAACTCTATGGCGAACTCTCCTCTGTCCTACAGGGTCTTTGAGTTGGAAGGGACTCCACTACAGCAGACTTGGTTTGGGGTGTTATTGTTCTGTAAGATGCTACCATTGGTTAAAACTGGGTCAGGGATACATGGGACTTCCCTGTACGTTTATGGAACTTCCTTTGAATCGATCATTCTTTCAAATTAAAAAGCAAAAAAAAAAAGAAGAAGAAGAATCTATTGATGCTAATTTAAGATGAAAGTTGCTTTTTATTTATTTACTGTGTATCTTATTGTGTTGAAATTTTATGACAAGCTTAATAAGTGACTGTTGTGATCCTTTGAAACCCTGGTAGCGCTGTCGGGTGAGCATGACTGGTGCGCTAACTGTAAGGTTGACGGTTCAAACTCACCAGCTACTCCTCAGGAAAAAGATGAGGCTATGTACTCTCATAAAGATTTACAGAATCTCAGGAGCCTGTGTAGGGTCTCCGTGAGTCAGAATCGACTAGATGGCGAGGAATATTGTGCTCTTGTAGAAAAGAAATTTTAGGTCAGCGGCTGAAGTAGTGTCCACGACCACAGTTTGTATGTAACAGAGTCAGAATTCAGATTTAACTCTGTTCAACCACAAGTCTATTGGCTTTTCTCTGTATTGTGCTACTTCTATTCAAATTAGTTTAAAATAGTTCACGGGAGCTGCACTCTGTAACTTTCATACGAATCCTTCGAGATTCAAAACCCTGCAAACGTTTTCTAATTTGTGGGCTTGATAAAAATCCCATGAATAAGTGCCAGTTTAATTCCCCTGATGTTAAGTCCCCTGAAAACACTTATTTTGATGTTATGTGGGGCATGACGGGAAGGCGACAATATGCATAGAATATTTCAGCAGCAATAAATGGTGAGAGATGAGAAAGTTTAATGTTTTTACATGCTAAAATGTTTTATTGGGTAATAAGTAGCAATTCCCCATGAGGAAAAAACAACGTCATTAGAAAAAATAATAGCGAAAGGGAATGCTTGAAGGCACCTGTATTCCCATCCAAACATAAAATAAATTAACATGGTTTCTCACTGTAAATTTGGATTCACCAATAATAAGATGCTTCTACAAGAAAGACTAAAGGAAGCCTTCATACAGAGATTAGACATTTGGACATTTTCAAATTCATCTTTTGATACTGCTAGTAAGTTTATGGCACCAGGAAATGCCACTTGTGTTGAATACATGCTTTCTGCCTGGACTGAGGATGGGAGCCAGGAGATTGATGAGTAATTCACGGGTCTAGGGCAGGACACTCAGCAGCAAGAACCACCACAGCAGGTAGGGCGGCAGCAGCTGGACACACAGCAGGTAGGGCGGCAGCAGCTAGAGATGCAGCAGGAGGGGCGGCAACAGCTGGAGATACAACAGCTGGGCCTGCAGCAGCTAGAGCCACAGCAGGAGGGGCGGCAGCAGCTAGAGATGCAGCAGCTGGGTCTGCAACAGGTGGGC